ACATACTATTCAAAAGAGACAAAAGACCAGAAGATCGCCTCACCAGCAATCATAACCCAGAGAAGCAAAGGTGTACCACCAGGCACACAATCAAGTGGTAAACAGATGCTAATCAAGGAACTACCAGAGGAGCAAAACAAAACCCCCACCAACATTGGCAGGGCATGCCACAGTATATAAAGAGAGAGCAAACCCCATCCCGTTTTAGCACTGAAGATGTTACCTAGCCAGGTAATGAAACATTTGCAGGAAAAGAACCAAGCTCACAGAGCCCCAAGGACTCCACAGTTCAACCCTGAGCTACACTTATTTGCCTCTATTGGAATCCCTAATCATTTGGCTAGAAGTTAGGTGACAGTAGGCCATTCCACAGCTCTTTATGCTGGGTGATACAAAATTGATCTAAATAAGAATTATTCTAAAGAATCTGAATCACTAATTTGTTGTGCTTTTGCTTCTCATATTTTAGAGAGTGCTCATAAATGAAAAAAACACTGGTAAAATGTTTGTTTTCCTAGGAAGGTGTATTGAGGCCTGTCTTGGACTGCATTGATCTTCTTAGCAGTGAAGAGGAATTTGATAGCTCTTCTGATGTGAGTGTTTCCTGTTACTGAACTTAGAATTTTCTCTGGAATTATTCTGCATGGTTTTTCTGCAAGTTTCTAACAATATGAGGGACTATGTCTGATCCGTACGCACACTAATCCATGTTTAAATATGTTTTGAAGGATGTTTTGAAGGAAGAACGGTTTTATTTTAAAGGTACCCACAGCTTCATATTTTAAAAGCAAACTATGTTATTTCTATATAGCATAGAATCTTTGAACAGTACTTAAATTGCAGTTGTAGATATTGATGAACTAAAAAGTAAATTCACATAAGGAGTTCTGGATTTCTTATTTTTGTGGCAGTATCCCACATGGATCTTTGTTAGGTATTAATTGCTCTTTTCTGGTTTACCCCTTGGGGTTGCTTGTTTTATGTCAAGAGTTGCATTTTTTTTCCAGCATCACTACAACACACTGACTTGCCTGATTATAGATAATAATGGGAGGGACAACCATTTTGTAAACTAAATTGTCCAAATACTTGCTATTATTTCCTATTGTATTGTACTCAATGGAAATAACTAACAATAAATTAATACCCAACCTGTGGATAGGAGGGATGCACGGTTATATTCTTGTCTGCCAGAGAAGCACTTTCAAAACATAACATATTGTTAACCATTCTAAATCCTGAGATTGAGTGGGTATCCCATTGCCCTTCCAGGTTTTTTATGCTGTGTCCAGAGCCATCTCCTGTTCCTGGAATTGTATCCCTTGATTTTTACTGTTTCATAGGAGCTCGTTTTACTATTGAATTTTGGCAGTAGTACTACAACTACATGGTTTGTGTTATAAATACCCCTACATCAAAAAGAAATAGTTTGTGTTAAAACATCCCAGTTTTATCACCAAGATCTACACTTAGCAGAGTTCCCAAGGATTTCAGGTTTCTGTTTCTCAATGCTGGAGCATCCAGCCAGAGACACTCTGATTTGGCCTTATGCTGTTCAACGTTTTTATCAATGACTTGGATGAGGGAGTTGAGGAAACACTTATGAAAGTTGCAGATTACAAAAACTGGGAGAGATGGCTAATGATTTGATTGGTTAATAATTATAGTTTCATTTTCAGATTTCTGGAACACAAAAATAACCCCCTCTAGGTTAAAGATTATGTTATTAACTTTATTAATAAAATTAAATTTATTTATTTATTAAAATTATTTAATAAAATTAAACTTATTTATTTAATTATTATTATAAGATTAAACTTATGTTCTAGTTTTTTATACAGATTGTTAAATCAAGCTGAGCTTGGCTTTCTACAACAGGCAGACACTGGAGGTGTTGGGCTACAGTTTTTTCTGCTTTTTTCCTCCTCTGCCAGTCACCTCCTCCCCACCCCCGAAGAGTTCACAATTCTCTGAAGTCAATCGGGGGAAAATGTAGGAAGGAGGAAGAATCAGCTAAAATTAATTCCTCTTTAGTAAGTGAGAACTGGAAATGTTTCATCTATGTAGGTCAACTAATAGGAACTTGTATTCCATACAAGTATGATATGTAAATATAGTCTGTGTCATTGGTATTCAGAAGAGCTATGCTTTGCATGCTAGACCTGCCCCCAAATGGTCCTACAAGCCATTTCTGTTCCCTTGAACTTCTAGTGTTATGAGATAAGATCTGAAGGGAATTCTTTGCCTGTTCAGCTTGAACAATTTCCAGTTTGTTCAATAGAATACATTAAAGATCCCTCTTTGAACTTTCTCACTTAATTGGGAAAGATTGGGAATGGAACCCATGCACATGGGACTAGGGAAATCATTGCTAGAGAGAGAGGCTCCAGTACTTCTTCTATGAGTTCAGACAATAGGACCTCTAATTCAATTCTTTCTGCCCTATTAAGGTCATGGCAAACTTGTCTGAAATATACCTAAGATCTGTTGTATGGTTCTATCTCAAATCAATACATTATTTTAAAATCCTGGCCAAGTTGCAAGGTATTGAATTTGTGACAGTGAATCTGACACCCTGCAATTAGGTTATATGGTTTTTCATGATAATGGTTACATATACTTTCCCAAGTCTGCTCTAGATAATTGTGGACTCCCCTCCCAAGCAGATTTGGAGGGAGGTATATAGGAAGAAGAAGTCCCATTGCATAACCAGAAATCTGTTTAGAAGCTTTTTCACATAAATGTCACCTGTGTCTTTAAATGTAGAACAGTCATACATCTTGTATTGTAGATGCGGGAAGATTCTAGAATAGAAGATATTGGGGGTTCCTTGGATGGAGACAAGGCAAGATTATTACTTCCCTTCATAAATAGCAAAATAAAATTGACCAAATGCCCCCCCTTTTTTTTAAAGAAAAAAAAAAGGCTTTATGGTTTACTGGCTGAACCTATTCCCCCAGGGCTGTTGGGTGACAAAAATATATATTTTTTTACTCATAGCAGTCAGTATATTCAGGGATGTGCTGCCAATTTGTTAACCAAGAGATCCCCATTCACAAGTAGGGGGACAAGAAAAGTCTTTACTTGGTGGTCTGGGGGAAAAAAGGAGCTGTTGCTCCTGTTTTTTTCCCTAGAATCACGTTGGTTGAGAGGGTGATTAATTTTTCCAGATAACAAAGTGTGAGCCCAGCCTGTCTCATATCTTCCTTGTGTACTTTCCCATCAGATATCGGTTTTGTGGGATTGAGTTGTAATCCTTTCAGTGTCTGTCATGAGACCTGTCAGCCCCACTAGGTAGCCTTCCTGTGGAATTGACCATGAAATCAACTCCACAGGAAGGCTAAAACTACTTTTATTGAGATTGGCTATAATAACAATCTTTCAAGTCTGATTGTGCTGTACCTCCTCCTCCTCCTCCTCCTCCTCCTCCTCCTCCTCCTCCTCCTCCTCCTTCTAGTTTAGTGAATTAGAGAGGGGTATGTCTGAGGCTCTTCCGAATGTTATCCAAAAAAAAAATGTTTTTGTACCTTTTCCTAGGCTCCAAAGTTTAACAAGCGGCTCCCATGAGCTGCTTCCATCATAGTCCTGAATATATGGCTGTATATCCATACATGTTTTCTGATTTTTTATATTCAATTCTTGACTCAAACTGGAAATACTTACATATGTTGGATTCTTTATTTCAAATGAACTGATTGAACAAAAAGGTGGGGCTCTTCTGTGTTACGCTTTTATTTTCCTGGCATGTTGAGACAGCAGTGGTTGACTTTTCTGGCTATTTGTACTAGCTGTTTATTTCAAAGAGATTTCTTCTTCTGTAGAAAAATGTAAAACACAAAGACCATGTTGATTATCAGAAGGAAAAAGTTGCTTCAACCCTAGATCGCCTAGCACGCCATGTAGAAGTAGAGAAACAGCTGAAGGAAGAGAAAAACAAAGCTTTCAAGGTATATTCTTGGCCAGCCATAGTTACAGCACAAGTATTACAATGTGATTTCTATGTAATTTGGAACACAATTGTAAACACTTCTTCACAGCTACTTCCCTTATTCGTTCTTGAACCCTATTTCATGTGCTCTAAGTGTCCAGTCAAAATCTGTCCCTTATCAGCAGGAATTCTTTAGTATGTTTTTGTGCTTTTCACTAATTTAGCCTATCAGTTGCCACCGTCTAACTTTTTTATGGCCATTCTAGATGAGAGTTATGGGATATGGTAGTCCTGTATGTCTGGAGAGCACTAGCTAATGTGATATGCTACTGCTCCGAGTTTCTACTTTTCATTCATTTTCACAACAGTATTTTTCCTTCCTTCTGTTCACATCCTCATGAGTTTTCCATCTTTCTTTCATAACAGTGTGCTGAGGAATCATTATCTTCTTGTAACAATTCAGGCATCCATGAATGTCTGTTTTAATTACCATATGGGTAATTGAAGCTTTTGGCTTCTCATTTTTAATAGACTAAATAAAATGCTTTCATTGAATATTTTGCCCTAGACTTTACATTGGAATCATGTTAGTTGGATTTGGGTGGCATCAAAATCAAATAAATAAATAAACATAGCCACAGTAACTTGTGCAAAGTTCTAAACTCTGGCCATAATTTCAGTATTTTCTCTGTACCAAGAATCAAATACTTTAAAAAGGATGATACAAACTTGGCATTTGTTTGTTTAAGAAGAGAAAAATGGCTCTATCATCTAAATTCTTGTTTTAGGAAACATAGAATATCTGATAATTCTACTGTTGGATGGCCTTTTGTAATAAACCTATTCCCAACAGATGTCAATTCTTTGCAAGGAATAGGTTCTGAGTTGGCATTTCACTAACACAGTTGTCAGAGGACCTGAGATCAGATAATGACATGTACAACTGTGCTATCTTAGAAACAATAACAGGAACCTAATGTAGATTTAAAATGTAGATCATATTCCCCCAAAGAATGTGTGTTTCTTTTTTTGCAGGGAGAAGCAACCTATGCCCCCAAGTCCCCTTTTAGCATCTCTTTAGAGCCCACTCTGACTATAATCGCTAAAACTGATGATGTAGTTTTGAGATTGTTGCAATACAAAACTGTATCGCAACAGTTTTGTATCGCAACTGAAATATATAGCAGGCATATTTCAGCTAAGAGAAAAGCCCACAATTCCATATTGAGGAAAAAATGCCTGTGTTTGATGATCCTGCTCACTTTGAGACCCCTCCAGACTCCTAAGTGCAGCTTGTGGCCACCAACATTTTCTTACAGAAAAGTGCAAGAATCAGCAACTTGATACAATCTCATGTTGTGGTTATACCCGCAACCTTGTCCATGGCTTGCAGGTCTTAACATTATCAAACCACAAATTGTATCAGTGTCTTAATCAGCGTCTTAATCATTCTTTGAATAATAAGAATCGATTCAAAATATTAAATGGGTGTTGGGGCTTTCTGTAGTGGAGGGGAAGGAATTCTATATTAATGTCTCCATCACTTTTGGGTACAGAGAGCACAGCAAATTTAAGATGACTGTGAAATATAGTACATTTGAAATGACCTTAACTAGAAGCTTGAAGCTAAGCTGAACCACTGTAGGTGGCACTACCCTTCACTAGCAGCAATGTTGTGTATTTTCCTGAGGAATATTAGGTTTACTTATTTTTGCCACATAGATTTATAATTTTTTTGTATTTCCTTAATCAGTTCTCATTTACCTTGCCCAGTTTTACAAAACAAGAACAATAGACAGCTAATATTTATTTTTCCAACCACCGGGACCTTTAGGAAAAACTGGATTCTCAACATGCTCATGGACTGCAAGAGCTGGAATTTATCCAGGGGCATAGTGACACAGAAGCAGCAAGGTTGTGTGTGAACCAGTGGTTAAAAATGCCAGGTAATTTGTTACTTTGCCATTTGGAGAAAGGCAGACTCCCTGTTCTTCCAAAGAAATAGTTCTTCATAACTGTAGGTGACTTCTTTTCAGGAGTGTAGGATGGAGGAAGCAGAATTAAAAATAGCTTTTATTAGAAGAATGTTCCAACCTCATCATTTGCTTCAAGAAAATACCATAATTAAATGGCATGGTGAATTATGTGCATGTATGGTATTTCTGTGGCATATTCTGAATGCTCAGAACATTTCATTGAAGAGCTGTAGTCAGTCCACTGTGATTCCTGAAGTCATAGCAGCTAGCAAGGAGCAAACCATTTATCAAGATACAAATTGCCTTTTGCTTTTTTTCTGAGCTCATGTTATGCTTTTTAGCTGTAATATATCAATTTAATATATGCATATGCTAAATACATATTTACATAAAGTCTAGGCTAGTGTGTATGGAATTACTCTGGAATCTTTTCTAGCATCAAATATCAGATAGGCTTATTGATATTTTTCTTTTTACAAGCTTCAGGGATCTATTGATAATGAAATATGAAGATTAGTTCTCCTCTCTTTCTCCCACATTGCCATTAGCTGAGTCTTACACAGGTGGTCACTGTTAACATACAGATTAGGTGGAATCTAACCTATATTGGATTCAAACGTTATAGCTGCAGTATTGGCAGATTAGTCAGCCTGGTTGAGAAACAAAACCAGCATATAATAAAAACCAAGTATGTTGAAAAGAAATAGTATTAGACTTTGGTTTCAAAGTTTTGCAACAGCTGTAACATACCAGGCGTGAGGTAAATTATAACAGTGTAATCAAAGTTTCTCCCATTGTCCTGTTCTTATAATCTACTTCTGTGCTACGTTAAAGTGTAATTGTGTAATATCCGTGTATTTCTGTTTTGTGCCTTAGGTCTCAAGCCAGGCACTGTAAACTCAGGAAGGAGAACATTACCCCAAAAATCACATCAAACCCCATCTAACAGCAGATCCATTTTATGTCCCATAATGCACTGCAATAGAAAGTTTGACAATGGGCATTTACTGCTAGGCCATCTTAAAAGGTAGTATTTTTATGATACAAATGAGCCTATAACTAGCAGGGATTAATTAATGAAGTTCAGCTTCACTCAGATTTATAAAAAATTTTTTCCAGCTTTACGTTTTCCTATTTCTACAGTAGCTTGCAATGAAAATGGTTTGCATAAATTTTGTTTATGCTTTCTTGTATATTTCTTCTAGTACAACATTTTGTTCTGGTGAATATTTTTGCCAGCAATTTTCCCTAATAAAATACATTTTATTATTGTCTATGTGCATCTTTTTCAATCATTTTCACTGGTACGTGCATTTTCATGCACTTTGGAGGGAGGAACTGTACCATAAATTGTCTGTCTAACCATCTTCACAGTTTCATATGCTGATTGAAACCTGTGAATTAGATACATGTACTTTAAAAGAAAACAATTTTCTTGTACGTATTTGGTCATTAGGTTGTCTCAACAAACCATGAGGAATAATTTTGCAATGTTTTTCCAATTGAAATGCACCAGCATTAAGTTTCATCTATATAGCTTGATGCCAGGACATTTTTAGTTTTACAAGTATATTCTAAATTACTGTGTGTGCTTTATTTAATTTGACTAATATTAAATTAAGCTACAAGGTAGTAGTAGTAGTAGTAGTAGTAGTAATAATAATAATAATAATTATTATTATTATTATTATTACTACTACTACTACTACTACTACTACCTTGTAGCTTAATTTAATATTAGTCAAATTAAATAAAGCACACACAGTAATTTAATTATTTTCTTAGGTTTGATCATTCTAATTAAGCTACAAGGTAGTAGTAGTAGTAGTAGTAGTAGTAATAATAATAATAATAATTATTATTATTATTATTATTATTGTGAAAACAAAGAAAAAACATTTCTGTGAAGTGCATTGTGTCTGATTATGTCTATTATTTTCTTAGGTTTGATCATTCTCCATGTGATCCAACAATTACTCTGCATGGACCTCCAGCTAATGTGTTTGCCTGCATAGTCTGTAGCAAAAGATTTCCCACTCGTCAGCAATATAGTGAACACCTTTTATCTAAGGCAAGAATTTAAGGATATATTGATAATGTAGCAAGTTCTTCCCTTAGATGAATCACTTGCATGAAGCTATATGGAGTTTCCCTGAGCAAAATTTACAGTTTATCTTCATGGAGAGAAACCACAATTGAAATAGTCTGTAATACTGCAGATTCCATTCCTTTGCTAATTGAGACACTTGAAGCTGGGAGTTAGTTTTCTGTCTTCATCCAGAGAGCAGGATTCTGTTATGTTTTAAAGAGATGCCAGCTTTCTGGGAAAAATTGGCACCTAGATTTGGGTATGAAATAAACCTTTCTTGACTTTTATTCACCATTCTTAACTACTTTTCTTTTAATGAGACTTTGTTCTGAATATTATAAACGTGGTGTTTCACTAATTTGGCAGTTCCACTGTTAATTCCTCCTACCTGTTGACTCTCAGCAGAAAAAAAGTCAAGAAATCTAATTAAGGTTTTATTCTGCAGAGAGAGAGTGGGGGCACTTGGTTTCCACAGATAATCTGGGAATAATTGGCCTCTTTGCTGAAAAGGGATTTCATGAAAGTGAAGGAGCAAAAGATGGAGATAGAGAAGAGTTGAAGTCTTAAATTGAAGGGGCATGTCCCAGGCTCGCTTCACAATGTTCTTTGATTCTTCATAGTAGGTCTGAGTGAAACATACATTTTTACAACCCCCTTTCAATGCAGCATAGCTCCGTCATGATCTTAGGATAATAGTAGAATTACTTGTTAATTGCAAAAGGAGAAGCTTTGATAGAAATAAATATTAATACTGTCAACTGAAATAAAATATTTTTGATTTGTAAGACTCAGTTTCAGACTTACCACAACAGACGTTTTAAATCTGAAGTCTTAAGTAGGAACAATGCAAATGTTAAATTAAACTATCTGTGGTGATCTTTTTAGTATAAATCAGTTTTACTGAAAAAGTTCTTTCTCTGAGTTCAATAAATAAGGTTTCTCTGTTTCTTCAAAATGTTGTTCCTGTTTGTGTTCTTCTTTCCTCCGCTCAGGTTGGTGAAAATGATGGCCATGAGAGAAATTACCCTCCTCAGCATATTCAGTGCTTTGCGTGTCCTTGCTGTTTCCTCCTCTTTAGCATAAGAGATGAATGTCTACAGCATATGTCTGGAAAAAATCATTTTTCTCAGGCTTTTAAATTGAGTGGTATGTTTCATCTTTTTGAGATAACATATTTTTCTCTCTGGTGTGAGTGGGTAATGCATAGATTATTGGTTTATACTTTAATATATGGTTACAAAGATGCAGTACCTTCAGTAATGATTTTACATCTGTCTTAAGAAAGGAAATGTTCCAATCTGGAAATGTAAATAGAATGAGCTGTTTTTTCTGTAATGTTCCTATTTTGTGCAAAATAGGCTGAAATCACTAATTAAAATGCTCACTGAAAAGAAGGTGTGAAATGTTTTAAATAAAAGTGTGGAATAAGTTAGAAACAGTCCCCATATTCCAGTCCAGATAGGTTTCTCTTGAAGTACAGAAATGTTCAAAGCCTGGCTGTGGCTTCTCTCAGGAAAAGAGACATCCATTGTCATAGGACAACAGTGACTTGCAGTTAAGGATGTTTGGATTCTGTAGATATCTTTCAGCAGCAAACAGCACTTGGTAGTTGATAGATGAAAGATTTTTATGTGAACTCTGTATATGGTAGAATATTAACTAGGTATCATTTGGTTATAAAATCTTGTCTGCATGTTGTGCATCAGACTGCTGATGATTTAGTGGAGTTTCAAAGGAAGGGAGTGGGTGGGAAGGAAAGCTGGGATGTGGATAATCCTATTTTGGGGCAAGGGTAATTGGATCCCTTCTAAGTAACGCTGCCTTCTGTTGACTCTATTGCAGATAAAGCAGGGAGTCCACTTCCTTTGCCTTTGCCAACCTATGCTAAGAATCTTCTAATCTCCTTATGCAAAGAAGTTCCATTCCAAGTGCAGTGTACATCCTGTCATCAGGTTTTGCGTTCCCACATCGAATTAACAGCACACTTCAGGTTTGTGAAAAACTTCACATTTATAAAATGCAATCACAGGCCAGTTTTTCTCCCTTTAAATATCTGTTGAACGTCAGACCTAATTATGTTCTGCCACTTGTGTAAGTGGCTTACTCCTTGTATTTTAAAAGTGGAGATGGTGTTTGTCAAATGCTGAAAAGTGGAAAATTCCATGCATGTAATAAAAGTGCTGAATCCTGTCTTCACTGCCTTTCCCAGGTGTTTTTCCCTGCAGTGAAGACAGAATTCAGCATTATTTATTACACGCATGGATTTTTCCACCATAGTTCCTTTATGCATGCATGGCTTCCTATATTTAAAAAGTTAAAAAAGACAATGACATGGTAGGACAATGATAGTGCTTGTGACAATCACTTCTAATGATGTCTTTGCCAGCTGGCCTTTGATCAACAAATGTTATGTATTTGAAGTCAGAATTTTGCAACGTTGAGAATATGGTTTCTTTTTGAGATGAACAATTTTTAGATAGATAGCTGTGACTATATTTCTGTATCTTTCCATTTTAGAACCCGTTGTCGTAATGCTGGTCCTGTAGCTGTATCAAAGAAGTGCATCTCCCAAGTTGCAGAAGTGCTGAAAGTCAAAGGTTTCTGTCAAGGCTGTGACAAGTTGTTTGTCAATGATGACCAAATTACTCAGCATAGTTGCACAAATGTTGCCAAGATTAAACTTATTACCACAATGGAAGAATCCATTTTATTAATCTGTCACATCAATGAAGGGAATAAAAGTGCCCCTCACCTGCAAAAGAATGCAAGCCTTTTAAAATCTTCTCCTCTGAAGAGACATTTGAAATTGAATGGCGATAAGAATGAAATTGTTTCAAAATGGAAAAAGGATTTGCAAGGCAACAACCAAGAGGTTTGCACAGCTCCTACTGTCAAAACTTGGGTATGTCAGTGTGATCTGGCATTTCTTTCTGAAGAGCTGGTAGAAAAACACATTTTTTCTGAAAACAGAATCTGCCACAAATGTGGTGTATGTGGGAAACTTGCAGAAAATGCAAGCATTATCCGTTTGCACATGAGCCGTTTCCATGGAGGAGCACATTTGACTAACTTCATCTTCTGGTGCCAAGTTTGCACTGTAGCCCTTCAGAAAGAAGAAGATGTCTTTACCCATGTGACAGAACTTCATGGTGGACATAACTTCTATTTTGAGAAGGACATTGCTGAGGATGAGCTGACAATATCTTCTGATTCACAATACAGCAGTTCACTTAAACAAGAAGGTCAAACTCCAAGCCCTATCGAACTTCCTTCAGTCCAGAGTGAGATGGAGGTAGCTGAGAGTCTTTCTCGCCAATGGCAGTGTCAGATGTGTGAGGAAATATTTAACTCGGAGGACAGTGTGAAACAACATTGCAAATCATTAGAGAGTCATCATTTTCATAGATACAGCTGTGGCTTGTGCAAAATGACTTTTCGGAAAACGGAAACACTACGGCGACACTGTCAGGATAGGCATAACAAGGTTGTACAGATTAAATACTTCTGTGGATTTTGTGGTGACCTCTTCTTTGATGTTGAGAAGGAGTTTTTACTTCACTTCAGGGACTTACATAGCATGGATTACCTCTGTGTGTCTGAGACAGCAGGAACCTCAATCAAAAGCCATGAAATAATAGAAGAAGGTAGTCTTCTAAACTGTGGCTGTCATGAGAAATACATTTGCAAAAAAAACAGGAAGGTAGATTACAAGAAATGTCAAGAAGCCATGTTGGAAAAAGGCAATCTATGGTTTCGCTGCACTTCATGCTCTTCTACAGCACAAACCTATTCTGACATGATGGCTCATCTCACAAGCCACACAAGCAAAAAAACTGATCAAGAGTTGTATGTAGTCAGGTGTGGTTCATGTAACAAGCATTTTAATAATATTGCTGTTGCCCATCAGCACTTCCATGATAAACATTGCTTTTTACAAAAACCTCAACTAGCTTTTGGACCACAAGCAGAAAGTAATATCTTCCATTTTTCTGCCAAGAGATCCTGCACAGACAAGGAGCCTGATAAACTGAAGCTTTCTGTAGATGTAACTTCAACAAGTTCTTCAGATGAAAAAAGGCTGAAGCTGGAAGATGCAAACAAAGAACAGACTAGAAAGCTTCATTCCGAAATGTTTGAACAAGGTAGGTAGAAATCAGGTAATACACAGCTAATGAAGCTGATGAAGGACATTGCAAAGCAATTGATAAAGCTGAAAAGCCACATCATTAAGTAATGCAAACTTTCTTTGTGTAGTCATTAATAAAGATGTAATATTTTGCAAGTGCCAGGAATAACATATTTAAACTTTTGGCCCTTATCACGGTATCAGAAATAAAATAATTACAAGAGACAAGGTAGAAAATAGAAATTAAAAGAGATTTTAGGGCTTGGCATTGGAAGTGTGGATTACTTTGAGTAAGGAAATAAACAGCAATAAGATACAAGCAGATTCTATG